GAGACATCTGAGGGGAAGCCTTGTAACAGCCTATAAGTTTATCAAGGGAGGACAACAGAGAATTGGTGATGCGCTATTTACCAGCGCACCCCTAGGAATAACTAGAAATAATGGGTACACACTAGTGGAAAGTAGATTCAAGTCAGACATTAGGAAGAAATTTTTCACAGTAAGGGTGGCCAGAATCTGGAACAGGCTGCCAAGAGAGGTGGTACTGTCACCTAACTTGGAGGTCTTCAAGAGGAGGCTAGACAGGCACCTGGCTAGGGGCATCTGACCTCAGTCCTCTTTCCTGCCAGGGGCAGGGGCTCGGACACAATGATCCTTCGGGGTCCCTTCTGACTCTACAATCTATGAATCTATGAATCTTTGCAGGTTAGTCTAACATGGCTAGGCTGAACTGGTTTGAAACTGGACAGACATGCTCTCTGGACTGAGGAAATTCAGGCACATGCCTTCAGTGGCTCAAGCTAGAAGCTGGGGGGGAGCTAGAGCAGCTCTCCCTTCCCTTCTGCAGGGAGCTGAGCTGAGAGGTTGTGGCCAGGCCCCAGCAGGATGCTCTCATTAGGGACGTCTTTCTGCATAGTCCCAGGCTTTTCCCCATTGACTCCTCAAGAGGCGGGAGTATTGCCAACCCCCAGCCCGGGTTAGCACTCTGAGGCAAGGGGGAGTGTGCAGTGCATGCATCTGTTGATCTGTTTTCAATCTCTCTCCCTGCTTCATCATACTGTCTGCAGCAAACTGACAGGAGAGCAAGCGGGGTGGTGGCAGGGACGGGCTAATAACAGTCTTTACCACCCAATTAGCAAAACAATAGCCTCTCTCCACATTACTTCAAACTTCTTAAACAGCTTACTGGCTGACCTGTTGATTAGCTCCAAAAGCCCATATTCTGTCTGCCTATCCCAGTGAAATTGGAGAGAGACACACATACAAACACCTCTCAGCACTAGCTAGCATACCACATGCTGGCTACAGTCCCTGCTGTGGCAGAGAGGAGGAAGGGATCTCTGCTTAGGCAGTGAGTGGTGAGGGGGGGTGGAGCAGGGCATGGGGAAGTCAGCAGACCCTGCTGTGCCTGCAAGGTTGTGCTGAGCTCCAGCCAGGGAGCAAAGGGGAGGGGCCAGCCCTGCTGTGGAGCAGAGAGCCCTGCCCAGCCCAGAGAACATGTCGGGATGCTGGGGGACTCTGATTTAACTTAAACCAGCAAGGGGTCTGGGACAGACATCGCATAAACTGGTTTGAGCCAAATCAGTTAAGTCTGATACTACATTCAACCAGATTTATCTCAAACCGGTTTCAGGCATTTTCAAACTAGTTTATGTGCACTGAACATCTGTTCTGTTACAGGTTTAAACCAGTTTCTGATCACTTAAACCAGTTTATGTGTAATGTCTGTCCCTAGCCTAAGTGCCCATCAAGTGATTATGGGGGACAACTAAAGAAAACAGGGACAGGAGTGAGGGTCAAAGGTAGAGTGCACTGGACAGTGCCCAATGTCCCTCAAACTAGTCCTGTATGACACATGAGGTTGGGCAAGATGGACCTACAGTCTGACCCAGTAAATGGCGATTCTTATGTTCTTATGAAACACAAGATATACTCGTAAGGCGGCAGAAAAGCCATAATCTAAGAACAGAACCTAAATGCTAGACCTATTTGGAACTCTTCAAGCAGAAATCCAAAAACATATGGGTATTTAAAATGCCCAAATGAAAGAAAATTAATAGCGCTGCAGGCATCACCCTCAAACAACTAGCTGAAAGGTCCAGATGGCAAGGTCAGATGGTGATAGGGGACTTGAATTCCTGTGGTATCTGCTGGGAGGGGAATGCCATAGTACACGGGCAGTCCTGCAAATTTTTGGGATGGCATCAGGGATAACTCTTGGTTCAGGTGGTCAGAGGTGGATCCAGGGGTGCAGTGGTGCAGTTGCTCTCCTTTGATTCATTCTCCACCCAAATTTGAACATTGACTACCTGGGAGGAACAGCGGCATCAAGCAGCACAGAGAGAGTCAATTGACTTCATGACTCATTGCCATCTCTTTGATTCCTGCTAATCTCTCTCCATTCTACAGGTATTAACAACCCTTTCTCCTTTATAATGGTCTTAATGGTCCACTATTCAAACTATCCTTTCTTCTGCCATTTCACTGTGTGTCGGCGCCATTCCTGGTAATGTCACTCTTCTATTTTACAGCTCTGCAGACTGTTTTTAGCTCCAGCTAAAACTCAGGTGTGGTAATATTAAACTCAGGAGTGGAAATGGCAGACAGTGAAGAGTGGAGGCAATGTAAAGACATTCAAGAAGGCTAGATTTCGTTTTAAGATTCTAAATAAGAGATGCACATTTAACTATAATGACTATAGGACTAACCATACAGTATCCTCTGATGAGTTTTTACCTAGTTCATTGTGGTTTTTTAAATTTGCATATGCTAGTGCACATTCCAATAGTTATATTTGTTTTTTGTTTTGATTGTAAACTGAATAAATCATTTAGACAGGTTCATTCAGAACTGAGAACCTGACTGGGACTTGAAAAAACAGGAAGGTTTCTTTTTCTCTTGTAGTCCATAAATAAAAAGGTCAGGGGAAGATGAGATTTAGGAATTCTACAGACTTGAAAGAAATTAGATAAAACTTCAAAGAGACTTAGGCAAGTAAAGAACTTAAGCTCAGATGACTTTTACGTAGACATTTTAGAAATTTTTCCCCAGGGTGACCTGGGGGGGGAGCAGGGAGGAGAGTGAGTTCAGCCTGGGGGTTGCCCAGCCAAGGCCGCAAGGTGGGGTGGAGGATCGGTCTAACTCATGGTGCCTTCTGTGAAGCATCATGAGTTAAATCAGGGAGCTGTCAGCACCCAGAGAGCCCGTCTCCTTTCTCCTGGCACACAACTTGACCTTGGTTGCTTGTTTTTGAGGCAGATGTCACTCAACAGACTATTACTCCTGTCTTCAAAGACAAAGCCAAGGTTAGATCTGGAAAAATGTTGCACTTTAATCTACAATTCAACACACACACTATCCTCTTTAACACTGCTGGGCTAGTCCTAAAATAAAGTAGTATTAAGAGCCCTAAAACACTATGGCTAGGGACAGACATTACCAATTTAAGTGATCAGAAACTGGTTTAAAACTGTAACAGAATAGATGTTCAGTGCACATAAACCAATTTGAAAATGGCCAAAACTGGTTTGAGATAAACCTGTTTGAATGTAGTATCAGACTTAACTGATTTGGGTCAAATGATTTATGCAATGTCTGTCCCAGACCCCTTCCTGGTTTAAGTTAAACCAGAGTCCCACAGCATCCCAGATGCTTTCCAACCCAGGGTGGGGCTCTGCTCTCTGTTCCAGCCCAGCAGAGCTGGCCCTGCCCCTTTGCTTCATGGCTGGAGCTCTGGCAGGGACTGCACATACAGCAGGATCTGTTTGGCTTCCTTCTGCTCCCTCTCACCACTCCCTGCTCAAGCAGGGGTTCCCCCTTCCCCTCTGCCTTACACAGACACCTCTCAGCATTAGCTAGCATACCGTATACTGACTACAGGTCTGTGCTGTGGGAGACAGGACAAAGGTACAAAGTACAGTGTGCACTTAGGGCTTTTTGGAGCTAATCGACAGGCAGCTAGCAATCTCCCTCCATTCTTTCCTTGGAAAAAGTTGTTTAAGAAAAGCTTGAACTAATGAGAGAAGCTGTTTTGTTTTGTTTGATGAGCTGATAAATGCTAACAATTCCCTGTGTAACTTTCTGCTGTGTAACTAAATGCTCTGTTATCAACAGTGGGGGCAGGGGAACCCCTCCCTAAGTAGAGCGTCCTGCCAGAGCCTGGCAACGCACCCCCCCTCAGCTCAGCATTGTGGAAGGGAAAGGAGGGCTGCTCTATTGCCCCCCAGCTTCTAGCCTAAGCCACTGCAGGCATGTGCCGGCATTTCCCCAGTCCAATGGGGATGTCTGTACAGTTACAAATCAGTTTAGCCTAGCCAGGTTAGACTAACCTGCAAAGATTGAATCAATTCAGGCTCAGACTTTTTGAATGTCTGTCCCTAGCCAGTGTCATTTTAGCATAACTTTTGTCTTAGTTTGCCCTTTATGAGAAAAACTTACAAAGAAAATAGCACCTACTGAACTGGTGAGGTAAGAAGAAATGCTAGCCTGTAAACGCAGTTTCTTACTTGCTTACCAATATTTTATTCAGAATTAAGCCTTAGAGCATAAGCAAACCTTGAAGGCTAAAGAGAAATTTCAATTTGACTACTCTGACCATATGAAAGTCCCAGAAGTCTGGGACACTTCTTGCAGGTTGGTGGGGCGGGGTGGTGTGCTGGGCAGGTAGCAGTGCCTGCCTGCCTTCTGGCCTGCAGTCTGCAAGGTGCACTGTGCTGCTCCAGCTCCTGGCCAGACTTTGTCCCATGCCCCTGCGTTTCCAAGACACCTATTATAATTCTCGATAGCTGGCCGGGACCAGACTCTGAAATCCAGAACTGTACTCGCTAAATCGGGATATATGGTCACCCTATATTTGACCTAGGGATAATCCCCAATGTAGATGCATATACATTTTTTCCAGTGCTTTTTTATATGTAGAAAACAAGATTCTAACTTTAAGGAAAAGCAGTGGATTCATAAGCTAGACGTTCAGATAATTACCATCATGTAATAAGCTTTTTTTAAATGATATCAGACAAATATTTGTAAACTTGTCAGAAAAAGACTGATTTTACAGAGAAAACAGAAAACAAAATGACACAAAAGTTCCTTTCTAAAATATTTTGGAGCTTGAACTTATCATATTTTCTTTTTTTGAAGAATTTTTTTTTTGGCTCTGTGCTGACTGTCAAACACACAAGATAAAGTTTGTCATTCAGGCAGTACCAGCATTTGAGTCAGTACACAATGACACAGTTATTTATCAAACTGAAATTGTTGCCATAGCTCCACTGTGGGACAGTGCAGGTTAAACAATAGCCTTGTTCATTCACGCTGGTCCAGTCTGACATTCAGCTCCAGCTCAACAGCAATGGATTTGTTTCCCAGAGCATAGCAAGTATACAACTGTTCTAGAGAAAAAGGGACTGTAGGATTTGGAAAAGAAAAGCTTCTTGGATCATAGTTGGATTTTCAGATGCTAAATTACTTTATCACCACAGATTGCTCTCAGCTGATCTTTAACCTCCCTCGGGACAGTCATACAAGAACAACTTGGCATGACCTTTGCTCAATTGTTTTAAGTACAAGAAGTGGAAATTTTATTATGTGGCCAGAGCAGCTCAAGGTCCTCTCAAGGAAAGTGTGAAAGCTACAGGGATGTATTTGGTAGCCGTGTTGGTCTGAGACAAAAAGAAAAAGCTGCAGGGAGAAGTTTGTCAGAAGTACATTAAACACAAAGATGGTAGGCTGTCAAAAACGCAGGACAGAAGAGGAAACTCAAGAGACGCAGACTGCCAAACATCAACGACAGGTGATAAAGATGTGTTTTTTTGTGTGTTTTTTTTGCCATCCATAATATAAATATATAGGTCATTAATGAAACATATTATGAATGATCATTTCAGAGATCTGAGTAGATATACATAGCATTATATAGTAACACATTCAACAGAGAACTTAAGTTATAATATTGTAAGTCTGCCTTAAAGGAAGACAATGTAATATTTAATAAGACTGACAATTTTTCCTCAGCACTTATCTTAATGTGTAATCATCATAATGCATCCTTTATCTGAATAAAAAATAATAAAAGCATTATTTTAAGGCAAATATTTAAAATAATATTACCAACCTGCGGTGTCATACATAAAGCTTATGCTTGTTATAAATTTTAAAATGAAGTTAGAAACCACTTGAAAATTCACAGGTATAAAATGTGGGTAGATCATAAATTTAGGCATTTTTTAGCAAATTTCACAGCACTACTTTGTTTAGAAATGCCTAATAGTTACTCTTCACCTTTACATACTGTTTATCTTAGTGAATGTGTTTGCATGTATATTCCTGTAATTCTTTTTCTCTACATATTGGTCTGAATTCATTCTTGATGTAGCTCCATTAAATTCAGGATTTACACATCAGGCCTGAATGGAGCCCTTTGTAATCTGCGGGAGGATGACTTATCAAACTGAGTTACTCATCTGATAGGCTAATACGATTATTTTAAGTATCTTAAATTGCCAAAATGAAATGACTTTTTGGAAGAATATGCCATTCAAATGAGAGTAGATGAAATAGATTTCTGATAAGATTCCTACATATACCAGCTATGAGAAGATCTACCTAGAATCTATAATTATCTCCAAATCTCTTCACATGAACTTAGCCAACAGAAATGCTGAAAACAAGCACATTATTTCTCTGTTCATTTCTGGATAGAAAATAAATACCACAGAATTCTAGTAAACATTTATTTCCAAACTACAGGAGCTACCTGTTTACCAGACTTGCTAACATCCTACAGTACTGACAGTAAGCCTTAGAGCCATCAGATTCAAATTGTTTCTGAGGCAATAGGTTCTGGGACTGAAATCTTAAATTCAGCAAGGCACTATGGCATCTTTAGCTATTTGTTGTAAGGCCTGGCTGCATGTGTGACACAGAAGCGAAAAGGAAAAAAAAGTAGGTGCATAAGCTGAGCCTCTAGACAGTAGGGGGTTTTTTTGGTTTTTTATTTTTAATAAAAAGGGTGGGCTGAATTTTGATTATAGTTACATTAGAATGAATCCAAACAACTCCACTGAAATCAATTTAATTACACTAGATATACACCACCATAACAAAGATCAGAATCTAACCACCTGCCTGCTTACAATCATATTCTTATTCGAGCCTGAAAGAAAAGTAAAAATATTATAATGTAAATTAAATAGGGAAGAGAAGCCAGATCAAACTCACTGAGAATGAACTTTCACGTAATTATAATGTCTAAGAATTAATTCTTGTGCCAATGGTTTTCAAAGCATGTGATTATTGCCACAGCATGGAAGGCTCTGTTTTAAACACTTTCAGTGCTCTCACTTTACAATTTCGCAAAAATGAACAATTAATGTATAAGCAGAACATTAATGCAGAAAAGCTGTTACAGTTCAAGCCCTGGCTGAAGATCAAATACACACCTGCTGGTGAATTAGAAGTAGTATATACAAGGCCTGAGATAATGCACTAGTCTCTCTCTGTGTTTACTTGTTCAGGTCACTTCAGCAGACAAAAGGAAGTCATCATGATAAACCTATACATATTTCAAATGATTAGTGGCATACTAGTAACCCTGTAATTCACCTGTTTCCTGACACTGGATTTATGTAGGTGGACCTTTGTACCCGTTAGTCGATCAGGATTATTATAGGATTTAATTATTATATTATTATTATAAGGCCTAATCTATTTTAAAATGCCAGACCGCTTTCATTGTTTATGTATACTTATTTCTAGATTTTACTATGTTTGGACAGTTCAGTGACACAAGCCCAGTTTCAATCCTATTGATGACAGTCATTTAAATTCTCCATTTAATATGGTAACATGCCTGGTGCTGCAGCAGCAAAGTCACGTCTCCTGGCCGCTGACTGGACCCCACCATGTTGCCCACTTTGGTCTCTCTAGCTGGGTCTTTCCACCTGAGGTCCATTAAGCCAGGACCCTAGATTTCCCGGCTCCAACTCGCCCCTCGCAGGCCCCTGTCTTGTCCCTTGGCCCCTAGTCTTGTCCCTTGTGGGCACTGGGCTCATTCACTGACCCAGTCTTTCCTGTCTGGTATCACAGTCCTCGGACAAACAGCAGCCCTCCTTCTAAAGTGTTTGGGCTTTTGCCCCCATGCATCCCACTGATTCGCAGACCCTGGAAGGGTCTGTGCTTGGTGTCCCTGCAGCACCCCTGTGGCCACCACAGTCAGCCATATCTGGTCCTCTGGTATTTAAATACAATGAAAAGCATGAGCATCTGCTCCAAAAAAAGGCTCCCTACCCAGGGTTAATCCTATACCACAGCAGCATTGCAACACAGGCTCAAAACACTTATCTATTGCTGTTTAGTGGTGCAGGGGCTTCCCTCCAGCTTCCTGGCAGTCTGGAGTCCTTTCTCCTCCAGTAGCCCAGCCATCTGCTCCCTTGAGCTCAGCTTCCTGAAGCTTTTAAGGCCAGACTGTCTCTCTCTAGCTCAGGACCTAGGTTTATGCGCCTCCTCTCTGGGTCACCTGACCCTCTACTTCCACTCCAGGCCTGCACCAAGGGGCACATAGCCATTTTTATTCAAGGGACCTCTGCCATTATCAGTCTGTCTAGGAGGCTGTGGCTGGCCAGCTGACCCTTGGCTCCCTCTCCCCTTCAGTAATGGAGCAGGGGCCCTGTTATATACATTAGTATTATAAACAATCATATACAAATTCAGACCAATGGAAAAAGATTATTTTTTAAAAACCATCCTTCAGCACTCAAACTGGAATGGAAAAGTGATGAATACACCGTTTCCACTTCCTCTCTGTGCTCCTTCAACCTTACTTCCCTCAGCTTTCCAACTTGTCCCATAACTCCACCTTTTCAGTTGTCTGTCTGCTCTACTTCCTATCAAGATTATGGTTTGTTTTATCTTAGTGGTGTCATCCTCTTTCTAGAGCAAACTTCCCACAGTGGTTGTTCTCCAAAGTAGCCTACAAGGAGATTTTTTTTGCTCCTTTCTAGTTTCTTCAGGCTCTTTCCTGGTGCTTAGAATAGGACCTTCTACATAGTCTAATCGATGACCTTACTCCAATTATTCCAAAGGCGCAGTACCTACCATCTCTTGTCAAACACAGTCGTATCTACATTGTGCTTGTGCATGAGAGCCAAAAATGAGGGTAGTGTAGTTTCACTGCATATTATGGGTTCAATGCAAAGCACAAACTATAAAAATAGTTTACAGGCTCCTACCCTGGGAGTCTTTAAGAAGCGGCTCGATGCCTACCTGGCTGGGGTCACTTGAGCCCTGTTTCCCTCCTGCCCAGGCAGGGGGTCGGACTTGAAGACCTACAAGGTCCCTTCTGACCCTACTTCGATGATTCTATGATTCTATAAGTGTAGCGCATTTGTGAGTTTATAGTGTGTATGCTTGGATAAGGCTAGAAGAGCTTTACTAAAATTATGCGGTGAAAGGGTTACTTTAAACTATGTAAAGCATAGTGTTGAAGAGGACTTTATATTAAACTAAAAGGTTGGTTCTTAGATTAAACAATTTTGAGCTGGAAATGCATAAAGTTCCTCTCTCATCTCCCACAGCCTTTTTTCTAATAAAACACTAGAAGGGAGTAATAAATGGACTACTAGATTCATACAGTTTTTATACCTGTTTTTAATAATAGCAGTTACTACAGTCCTAACGCCAATTCGCCTTCTGATTCCTAAGAACTTGAACTATACATGGATTTAAGAAAAATATTAGTGGATGCTAAAAGGAGGGAAGAAAGGACTTTGGGCTTTTCAGATCATGGAGAAAGTAAAAGTTGGAACTACAGTGAAGAAAAACTGATGGGGTAAAAGAATACAGCTAAATAAACAAATTGTATAAATTCAGCAACAAAAAAACCCCCAAAACACCATGTTAAAAGAATACTGTCACAATTGTAAAATCAAACATCCAGAAATTAGAATCAAGATTGCCTATACAATCTTCTTTCACCCTCTCCTGTTTATGTATTATGGTAAAGTTTTTACCTACATTACAATATACCATATCTTCTCACATTCAACATGTACTTTTCCCCCCAAAATCAGCCCCGCAAAACTGGAGTGCATGTATAAAACAGGGAACCTGTATTTCATTGGAGAAGCAGCTCTGCGCATGCCAGGCAGCTGCCAAGATAGCTAACACTTGTCTGGCTCAGCAAGCTGAAAAGGTGGAGTCCGGTGTTAGCCTTCTCACAGATATAGCTATTGGTTGAGCACTATAGGAAGCAGCAAGTGAGCTGTTGGTAATATCTTCATGAGTCTTGTGACATGGAAACAGTACTTTCTTTACAGGAACTTATATAAAGAACAACTTACAGTAAAGAACTAAGAGTCTTGCTGCCTGCCTTACAAGGGTCTGGGGCTTAACCTTGTGTGACATATAGAGACTCACCCAGCCTGTCTCCTAGGATGCCACACTTCCTGGACAATCTGTTCCCAGGGTACTGATTCCACATCACAAAGTCAGCCACCTAGAAACATATCCTCCTCTCTCCCTCCCTCACCCCCCATTCTGCCTTCAAAAAAATCAGGAGCAAGTTTTATGTGGGGGTGTGCTGTATGCAAAGAAATATGGTACTATTTTCCCATGGCACCCCTCTCTCTGTCTATGCACCAACTGGAGGGGGAGACTATTCAATCTTATGTTTTTATCATTATTACATAACCTAGGCCTTCTTTACTGCACAGCATTCAAGCCCTGCTCTCGGAATTATTATTTTCCTATGTAGTTTTTTTTCAAAAGTTGCTCCCATGATTATAGTATCTGAGA